GCCACATGTGCCACTTCCACTATGAGGAATTCAAATTTCTTGGACATGTTGTTAGCGCCGAAGAGGTCCCGCCCAATCCAGACAAGCTTGCCACTGTTGCCAAATTACCAGCTCCTGTCGATGAGACAGCCGTCCGGCCCTTCTTTGGTTTGTGCGCCTTCATGGCTTTTCACTGATAGCAGAACTCCTGACTCGTCTCACGAGGGACAACACGCCGTTTGTCTGGGAAAACGAGCAACAAGCAGCTTTTGATGAGATGCGACAGCGCATGCAATCAGTGCTCATTCTCGCTCATTTCGATGATGATGCTGACACGGAGATTCATACTGACGCTAGTAACATTGGTCTTGGTGCAGTGCTCGTTCAGCATCAAGATGACATTGAAAGAGTGATAGCCTACACCAGCCGCTCTCTATCCCGTGCCGAGGCGAATTATTCCACTACGGAGAAAGAGTGCCTCCCAGTCGTGTGGGCAATCGCCAAGTTTCGCCCGTACCTTTATGGTTATCCCTTCAAAATAGTGACGGACCACCATGCCCTCTGTCGGTTGGCAAGCCTGCATGACCCTTCAGGACGACTAGCACTGTGCAGCTTGCGGCTGCAGGAATTTGACGTCGCCATCGTCCATAAGTCCGGCCATAAGCATGAAGATCCTAACACACTGTCACGTGGACCCCGTCATGTCGTCAGTCAGAAAGCAGAGGACGACAAAGGTTTTCTGACCACCATCAGCTCATCAGACTTGAGCAAACGGCAGCGAAATGACACAGAGATTCATCCAATCATCGATCACTTAAAGGGCCAGGACGCAATCTTACCACGTCATTTATCCCGCTCATTTATGTCGTTCTGCTTGCGAGACAGTGTGCTGTACAAGAAGAATGCTTGTTTGAACGACTGTGCTTACCTCCTGGTGGTTCCTCGAGACATGAGAGACGACTTCCGTTTTGCTTGCCATGATGAACTCACATCCGGTCATCTGGGCTATTCACATACACTTGCCAGAGTGAGCGAGAGATACTTTTGGCCCACTCTTTCGGCAAGCATCAAGAAGTAAGTCAAGGGCTGTCGGGAATGACAGTGCCGAAAGCAACCATCTGTTAAGCCAACTGGTATGCTTCAGCCCATTGAAGCACCTTGCACACCGTTCAACCAAGTTGGCATGGACATTCTCGGGCCATTTCCCGTCTGCGGACAGCAACAAATGGGTGATCGTCGTGACCAACTATTTGACACGCAACGCTGAGACGCAAGTGATCCCACGAGCCACGACTTCTGAGGTAGCACAATTTTTTATGTGCCACATCGTGTTACGACATAGTGCTCCTTCCAGTATAATAACAGACAGAGGGACGGCATTCACAGCGCAGCTTATGAACAAAGTTTTCAAACTAAGCAACACCAGACACCGAAGGAAAACTGTGTACCACCTGCAAACCAACGAACTTACCGAGCGACTGAATAAGACTCTCGCAGACGTGACACGTTGTACATCAACGTACAGCACAAAACAAGGGACCGGATCTTATCATTCGTGACCTTTGCATACAATACTGCAACCAATTGGAATTCCATCTCTTCAGCTGTGGTGGAATGCCCGTCGCTATCATCCTATCTACAGGCCCTTTAGTCCATGGGACATAGCTCTGACATAGTTTTACATGAACCCTGACGCCTTTTTTTTCTTCCATATGTTTACATATTTATGTTTTCACTAGTTATTTAAATATCTTGCTGCTGCGCTTGTATGAACTCATTGTACTCTTCTTCTTCTGCTGTTATTATCGCCACAATGCCTCATATGTGATTATTGTAACCCTTTTTTTGTACTCATTGTACCCACTCCTGCCTAAGATTTGAAGATCAGACCGGCAGTACTGTAATAAATAAATAAATAAATAATACTGCTGTGCAAGAGACCATGCGATTCATGCCATTTCAGCTTCTCTACGGCCGCGAAGTGTGGACCATGCTGGACTCTATGCTACTGTGTCGACGACGACGAGTTGGCAACTGACGTCGAAGAATTCGCAGAGCGTGCTGAAGAATCCTGGCAGCTTGTGCGACTGCACATCGGCCAGCAACAGCAGGCAGACGCACGATACTACAACACCCGCTACAGAGAAATGTTCTACAACCCCAGAGACCAAGTTTGGGTGTGGACGCCCGTCTGCCACCGTGGCCTCAGTGGAAAGTTACTGAGCCGGTACTTTGGCCTATATAAAGTATTACGTCAAGTCAGTGACATGAACAGCGAAGTGGTTCTGGACTCAACACCGCAGGCACGGAGCAGGACACGACCGAGGCTGGACGTCGTTAATATGTTGTGCATGAAATACTTCATTACGCGTTGTTCGTAACTCTTTCTTTACCGTTCACCACTCTTTGTGCTTTTTATTCATTTTTTTAACTTGCTTCTTTGATTGACTTTTCCTATATTTGCACACTCTGTAGTTTCTACTTTTACATTATTCAAATTTTCTTTCTTTTTTTTTTCACTTACCTATGTTGTAGCATCGGGTGGTACTATGTACTTTTGTTTCCCTCTTTTGGTACTTTTTTTTCTTTTCGAAAGGGGGTATAATACCACCCGCACGTAGTAGGTCGGCAGCAAGATCGGCTCTTAACCTGGAGGAAAAAAGAAGATTGCGTATTTATTCTCTGCTCGAGATCCAGCCGCGACAGATGCATTGTGCAGGAGCTAGCTACTCAGTGGTTTAATAAACCCCCCATTGCTTCTGAATCATCGTTATAATATGCAGGCCTCCAAATGAATAATTTTGTTGAAGCGCACTAAAAAACAAACAGACAGAAAAGGCTGACAAGGACAGCGCTTCTGTCCGTCTGTTTTTTAGTGCGCTCTAACAAAATTTTTAATTATGAATATAATCCAACTGGCCCAACTTTCCATCTTCCTCCAAATAGATGTCACTGTGCCTAAGTTGGCTATTTTGAGATCTCTGCAAGTGTTAGATGTCAGGCTGGAAACTTATGGTATCACCCATACATATATTTTTTATTGGTTGCTTCGAGAGAGGCAGGCAGTATGCATGAGATGCAAAATGACGATGCCTGGAATCAAACAGTGTCAAAGATGAGACCAGTGAAAGAACGACATAGACAATATCGAAACAAGAAAGAAGTTCAGGAGAACATAAAGGCCTGAAAATTTGCACAAAATCTTCAAAATGCTAACAACACCTCCTATTCAAGGGTTTTTTCATCTGTTGACAACATTTCTAACTGAGGAAATGTTTGCTCATCACGAATGTGCAGGTGTGATAATTAAAGCTGTTGCGAGTGAGTACTATGCTCTTTGTACTATTGTGACAAATGAACGCTTGCCATGAGTCAGCATTTTCATCGGTGTCTTTTTTCCACTGGTCTCAATCTTTTTGAAGTATGTCGCTCCAACCCTCCCAAGCTTGCTCTTTAGTGAGTGCACTTGTTAGTAGCAGGTTTTGTGCTCAATTTGGGTTTTCGATTTATGTCAGGAGTGCTTTTGCTGGACAAAGTATGGCCTGGCAAACAACAGCTGAGTACTGCCAGATGTGAGCACATAATTTTCGCAGCCATTTAGCCTTTAGCAGCTACCTACATAACCATCGATTTTTAAAGAGAGAGTAATCTAGAACCCTAAAATTTGTTTATGGAGACGTTCATGTTGGAAATCTGAAGAACATCTGTAGAAGCACTACTACCAGATACCCACTTAGGATTTATGATAGACACATGAGGAATACCCCTCAATAGATGGCTGTGTAAGTGTGTAAGCTCAAATAATATAAATTTAGCCTAGTAATGTTGTCTTTTACAAATAAATCAAGTTGATTAGGTCTTGATAATGATAGAAAAAAATTACAGCAAACATCCTGAATTGGAAAAACATTTTGCTGTCTGGGTTGGTCAATCATGTGCATTATATGCCTCCATGCAAATGAAAAAAAAATTTATAATAACACATGGTCCTTTGGCTTTTGAATGCTGGCAACAGCATGCCATTTTATCTAAGTTTAGTTGGCATGTAAATTCAGCCAAGCGAGGTTGGGTGTACTGTTGGAAAGTATGTTTAAGCAAAGCACACTACTAAGTAAAGCTTTTTTCTAACTGTCTCAAGAATATATGAACACTATATGCCATGAAATTCCGGTAGCAAAATAGATCAGGGTAATGGTAGCTATTTTCCAGAAACAAAGTATTTATAATTAGGACACCTGCAATACATATTGAATGACCACCTCTGGGCTTCCATAGATATGTCTGCTGGAATGTGAAATAAAAGATATTACTGACATGTCTGGGACATGCATTGGGAAGTCAAAGACATCAAGAATATCCAAACTGTTTTCAGTGCCATGCGGGGACAGAAGCATTATTACTACAGATTTAGTGGTGGAAAATTTTGTGATGAATAAGCACAAGTTTTAATGTTTGCGATCGATATCTGCTCACTTTGCTTCTAAAAAAAGCTGGGCTCTTACAGTTGAATCCTAGTGCCCAATTCTCATCTTTCGAAGTTCTGTGATTGAGGCATGTTAAGCTCTGTATCGCAGTATTACAAACAATGTTTGGACAATTTCTTGCAGCAGTTCACTCGTAGTTTCTTTGCAAAGGGGCAGTGAGCGAGATGATCATGCACTGAGGACCAATGCACGGCTTTTGAGAAGTTTTCTCAGTATTGCTTTTTCGGGTCTACGTCATCCAATAAAACACTTGGCATTATTGTTTGCCTCATTCATCCCAGATTTTATTTGCCCACAGGCCAATACAGTCACCCCTGTTTTAATGACTGACTAGGTGTAATGCGATGAATGAATGAATAAACTTTATTTAAACACTGAACCTACCAACAAGCAATCAAGTATACACTCAGAATGATCTGATCTTGTTGCAAAATGATGGTAAAAAGAAAACAGCAGCAAGTGCAAAATTGTCTTTTAAAGTTAGAATAAGTAAGCAGGTAGTTGTAGTGGGACTGATTAGATTCTTCTGTTTTGCAGATTGAGCGGGCACTTCGGCCTCTCCTTAGACTTCGATGGCAACCCCGGACAAGGCAGCGACGCCAGCAGCAGTCTGCGACTTTCAAATTACCACAGGATATTGGCTTCGCTGGATACTCCCTTCTTGTAAGCGTGCAAAATTCACAAGCAAGTTTCATGCTGCCGATCTTTTTTACATACAGTGGGAAAATATCCCCATATAATATAGTCTGTTGTGGCACAATAAAATTTGGCAGCAGTTGATATTGCTACTAGCAAGTTACTGTATCTTTTAATCTTGCTATTGGGCTCTATGTATAGATAGTGTCAAATAGCCATCACTAACTGTAACATCACGAAGCATAAGCATACAATGCAAAATTATATTAACACTGAGTGTATTGCCACAAGGTTATTGATGTTGTCTGTAAAACTGCTTAAAATGTTTTTTGCCTGAAAGGTCATGTTATCGGTGACATTTCTAAATTAGCTATGAACATTATTACAGTAATAATATTATTGCCAGAAAAATTATTTTAAGTTGTTTTGTTACATAAGCTTCATTACATAGTATATGCAGAATAAATGTGTGTGTTTCAGTGTGAAATTAATGTCTGTGTGGCAGAAGTTTAATTACTCATCTAAAACTCGTTTTAAAAATGTATGAACACAAAAAATTTGTTAATCAACTTGTATTTTGTGAAAAGTATGCACTACATGACTGAAAGGTTTGGATGGGGCATTAGCAGTGGTCCTCTGGTACAAAATGCTACTGTGTGGTGGTCCATGGTATTGAATTTTATCTTTGTCATTGGTGGCGATAAAACCACGGGGTCACAGTTGATGTGTTATGTGACTAAATAGTGGCGGCCTTCAAGGCAGCACATGTGTATGCAAGTTGCAGCTTTGCATTTCTGGTACTTATAACCAGCCTTGCATGATGTTTGTATTCCACACCATTTTCCTGAGCTGTTGTACTGTCACTACGTGTGAATAATTTGTTATGTTACAATATAAGAACTGAATGGCTGGCATTAGTGGCCACGCATATTTTGCAGTCTATATGCAATTGCGAAGGAGCCCCTGCGTCTTAATCAGTCTTGCAAGCTGACAGCCCTTGACAGTTGTCACTACACAAGTGACAACTGTATCCTCCAGGCTACAGTTGTCACTTGTGTAGTGTGTGCCATGTTGTGACTGGTGTGGTATGACACAATGAACTGTTTAGTTACATGCTGTATCAAGGGTGTTTCAGGAAATGTGTCCACTGTAACTGAAAAATTACAGAAAGAAGGTATCTGTGTGCACCCTGCGGCATTTCTTTTGCTGTGGCAGATGGCATCAACAGATGCAATCTACAGCACGTACATATATACCCCCTCCCCTTTCTGTAATTTTAGGGGCGAAGCTCCTTATAGTGGCACCCGTTCGTCTTTTGTAGCCGTTGGTAGTGTGTAACAAGTATAACATTTTGACTTCCAAGGTGGTGCCGATGAGAGATTTCTTCTGTGTGTTGTTGAACAATAAAAAATAGTGTTCAATGTACATGCCAATGGCTGCTAATGGGGAATGAGAGACAGGAGCATACGGCTTTTGGTTAACGTGCACGCTGCGATCCCTATTAGCAGCCATTGGCATGTACATTGAGCACTATCTGACAGGAAAAGGTTGCTGCGTTATACTCGCTGGGCGTAACCTCCTTGGTTTTAGAAAGGTTTAGTGAGCGTTGGGCCGCAGTGCCATGAATACAATGAACTAGTATATACGATCAACACGAGGTGGTTAAAGATGCGAAGTAGACCTGAAGCGCAAGCGGTAAGAAAGTGTGCGTGTGCCACCTCTCGTTTAGTCCTTGGAATGTCCACTGGATGGCGGTACTTCTATATGGGGAATATATGATGAAAAGATGCGAGATGGTGGTACTTGGAGTGTTGAATAGATGGACCAACAGACACACAGACAGATGCATGGATGGACGCATGAACGGATGCAGGGGCGGATGCATGGATGAACGCAGGGACGGACGCACGAACAGACGCACGGATGGACGCATGGACGGTCGCACAGACGGACGTAAGCAAGAACGAATGGACAGACGAATGCTTCGCCCCACTCTCCATCATTCACTCCGTGGATATTCTGCCAATTTTTTTCAATAATAGTTGACACATTTCTTGAAACACCCTGTATAAAGAAGCTTGTGCAATCTAAAACAGTCCAAGTAATACTTTGTAAGTGATTTAAAAGTTGTATAGACAGTGAAATCACTCACATAGTTCGTTCATACTATTTGACTTCTGATTGATTATGCATGGTTATTATGTAGTTAAAATTAAGTGGATAAAAATGTCACAATTTTGCTTTAAATACAAAGCACTTAATGTCAGTTGAATTAATGTCAGATAACAATGTGCAAGTTTGTTGTTATACGTAATAATAGTATAAATTGCAGCAAGTATTGGCTTGCTAATTAAATAACAAACATAGTGCCTTGCAAGCAAACACAAACAAATCTGATTCAATGACCATGAACACTCCATGTCACAGTGTTCGCATGATGAAGAGTAGCAGCAACAGGGAGCTAGGGAACACGTGAAATGCACATGAAGGCCCTAGCGACCCTTGCTCACCTTGGCCTTGCCACAAATGACCTCGGAGGTATGGCGTGTGGCTCACATATGCACTCAGCCATGTAACCTATACCAGTGAAAGGAAGTGCTGCTCTAATAGCTTGAATGTGTTCCAAAAGAGAAATGCTGCTACATATGCTCCAAATCGTGATTTTTATTAAAAACTTCTCTGAAATGGCTGTGTGAAAATCAATGAAAACAAGCTGCATATTATTCTTCTACTACAGTTTAACCCTTTGATAAGAGGCACTGGTATGACAGACAATTGCGCATAAGAGACACCACAAAGTGCCAACATCAGAATTGGGGTTCATCAGCGAATGAGAATGTGGTATTCTGGTTATAAGAAACATCTCATATAATACACTAAAATCTCTATGTGGTTTGTGTTGCTTATAAAGAAGTTCAACTGTATTTTAGCATGCAGCTAATCTACTAGAATCATACTCGTATAGAGACAATGGCACAAGTCCTGATATATTTGAACCTGACTGGCAGACTAAGTTGGTGAAGTGTGCATGAGTTCCCTTCAATGTCATAATAATTAACTGCTGCTGTGACACCCGTCATGGTAGCCTAGTGGTTATGGAGCTTGTCTGATTACCCAAAGGTCATGGGATCGAATCGCGACTGAACATGCCACATTGACACGGAAGCAAAATGATAGAGTTCCCGTGTTTTTAGATTTGAGTGCTTATTAAAAAAAAAACAGGTGGTCACAATTTTCTGAGCCCTTCACTGGGGCATCTCCCATAATTATGTTGTGGTTTTAGAACAATAAATCCCAATGATCATCATTATTATTAACTGCTGCTGTGACAACTGTTATGTATGACTGATTACATTTACACTGCAATGCTCAGCTTTATTGGCTCTGTTCTTCTTTATGCCCCAAGAACTGATTTTTTATGTATGTGGGCCATTTATACATTTTTATTTTTAATTTAAACTTGAGGTGCAGGCTATTTTGTTGAAATGTGAAAATGGCTAAGATTGCTTTGATCTTATACCATCGTACCGATTATCCACGGCTGCTTTATCAATTGTTGTATGTTACAGGTATATTGTGGTGCTCAACTTTGCTAGTTTGATTGCATTTCCACGTCAAGTACTGGTACTTTGAAGAGAAGCTGAAGATGTTGTGGAATGTTTAAACCTTTACTGCATTAATTTAAAGATCTCTATGCTTTTCTACTTTCTTTCATAGCAATGAAAATATGCTGATATTCAGTTGAAATCACTTTTACCAACCTTTTTCTTACCATTTTACCCTTCGCGGTTCGAAACTTTTGTACGCACTTTCCAGCCATTTCGATCAGAAAATATTTCGCCTGTTTTGCGCACCACACACCAAACAAAATAAAAAAAAATTGTGTAATAAAAGCTAAAATAATGTTCATTTTTGCAGTTGACTTGGTCTCAAAGTTTTTAACAATATTTTGGTAACGCGGGGAACCCAACTGCGGATCACTGCGACCTTTTTGCATTGTCAGGAGGAGCCAGATAGAGGATCGAAAATTGTTATTAAAAATATACCTGAAAGCCTATTTCAACTCATCCAAGGCTGTCTATTTCTTCTCATCAATGTGCAATAAATTCCTACCCAGTCCAGTCTAATACCCAATTTATAAAAACCACTATTTCAATAAGAGGCACGTAATCCTACCCTTATTATAGCAATTTGAATGTCTTTAAAGCAGTCGAAAAATGTTACGCAGTGCACCATTAACACTTTCATCTGGTCTGTGCAGGCCATCCCCGTCGCAACCTTTGCCCTGGGAACATGGCAGGTGAAAAGGCGGAAATGGAAGTTGCAGCTTATTGATGACCTTGCCAAGAAAACGACAATTCCTGCTGTAGACCTGCCTGAAGAGTACTCTGTTTTTTCCTATCTTAAGTGTTCCCAAGCTAACTGTCACTCAAACACATTCCTGATTTCTGAAGCAGGCTGAATCTGGTGAAGTGGAATGATACAAGAGTCCTATCACTCCTTTTCCAAACCCAACCATGTGAGTTAGAATAAATGTTTAGTACAGGGAAATCTCTTTAGAACGAACCCCACATTAATGAACTTTTAAAAAATTTCACACCGACTGCTAATAGTTTTAATGTAAAACTATGTCACAACTACGTTCTTCAGAGTACTGAATTTTTCAGAATAATGAGCGTTGTTTAGTTCCGCATTATGTTAATATCGCCTCAGTACTACGAACTTATGTTCTGAAATCCATTGCGACCACCAGAGCGGTACGCAAGCAGACGACAATGCGAACACACGCCTTGCTTATCAGAAGTGTGGCAGTTTGGGCTAGTTGGTATGACATCACGATAGTTATAGCGCATGAACAGAACGATGACAAAAAGCACTCGTGTCCTTCTTGTCTCTTTGTTGTCGTTCTGTTCTCGCGCTATAACTATCAGCTTCTCAAAAGACGCCTGACAGTGCGGAGAAAAAAAAAAATGAAAGGGCGACTTTCTTTTCTTTTTTCTTTATTGAAGTGCCAACGCTGCAGGTTTACAAGTGCAGAGGCGAGGGTAACATGGGTCAGCAAGGCAGAGGGCAGAGTGGGAGTCGCGGAGCAGGAAGCATAGGCGCGGAAAACCTGAGACAGCAAGGGAGCAGAAAACGACACGCGAGGAATTTTCTTTTTTAGCACTTTTTTTTTTCTTCGGAAGAAGCGATAACAGCCGCGACGCTTGGGATTTTTATTTTTTGTCACTTCTACATGTGCACTAAGACTAGGAGGCCTTGTTTGTCAGTCTTGTTCATCTCTTTTCGGTGATTGCTTATCGCGTCCGCAAAGCAAGTTGGCGTTCACGCTGTGGTGCTACTACAAATGAGTTCGTCTCTGCTTACGACAAAGAAGCAGAATCACTTTTCACTAAGCAAGAAAGTGGATATTTTTCGGCAACTGGAAGGCAAAAAAGCGGGCTGTTGTGACCAAAAAACTGAATCGCACCAGAGGAATGTGGATAAGCTGGGGCCCTTCGCGCCCCAAAGTTTGTGCGGCATGCGTCAAAAAAAAATACTGACTTCTTCAAAATAAACATGCATTTTCTGTTGTTAACTTGTGCATTAGTTTTTTTCTCGTTAAAGACATGTTCAAGGACCCACCGTTGTAATGGTATGTCATTTTGGTCGGTGGAAAATAGGTATTTATGGTTAATTTTTGGGTTTTCACTATAACAACCTTTTAAAATAACGAATGAATTGCCACGGCCTCCTGAAGTTCGTTATACAGAGATTTCACTGTATATGGGTGGTTAGTCTCCTGTAGGCTGTACAGATTGATTGCTATAAAATATAAAGGACCTTAAACATGCTTAGGTATGAATTTGAAGCTCACAAAATGGCCAATGTGATGATATTTGGGTTTTGATATTTGAGTTATCAGAGCAGCTCTGTCAAAAGAATGTGTTTGGTGAGCGAGTATTTATACCTAATGGCAGCAGAAGAAATCTGAGCCAAGTAATGTGAAGTGTGTGAATCATCATCATCAGCCTGACTACGTCCACTGCAGGACAGAGGCCTCTCCCATGTTCCGCCAGTTAACCCGGTCCTGTGCTTGCTGCTGCCAATTTATACCCGCAAACTTCTTAATCTCATCTGCCCACCTAACCTTCTGTCTCCCCCTAACCCGCTTCCCTTCTCTGGGAATCCAGTCAGTTACCCTTAATGACCAGCGGTTATCCTGTCTACGCGCTACATGCCCTGCCCATGTCCATTTCTTCTTCTTGATTTCAGCTATGATATCCTTAACCCCCGTTTGTTCCCTAATCCACTCTGCTCTCTTCTTGTCTCTTAAGGTTACACCTACCATTTTTCTTTCCATTGCTCGCTGCGTCGTCCTCAATTTAAGCTGAACCCTCTTTGTAAGTCTCCAGGTTTCTGCTCCGTAGCTAAGTACCGGCAAGATACAGCTGTTATATACCTTCCTCTTGAGGGATAGTGGCAATCTACCTGTCATAATTTGAGAGTGCTTGCCAAATGTGCTCCACCCCATTCTTATTCTTCTAGTTACTTCAATCTCATGGTTCGGCTCTGCGGTTATTACCTGCCCTAAGTAGACATAGTCTTTTACAACTTCAAGTGCACTATTACCTATCTCGAAGCGCTGCTCCTTGCCGAGGTTGTTGTACATTACTTTCGTTTTCTGCAGATTAATTTTAAGACCCACCTTTCTGCTCTCCTTGTCTAACTCCGTAATCATGAGTTGCAATTCGTCCCCCGAGTTACTCAGCAATGCAATGTCATCGGCGAAGCGCAGGTTACTAAGGTATTCTCCATTGACTCTTATCCCTAACTGTTCCCATTCTAGGCTTCTGAAAACCTCCTGTAAGCACGCGGTAAATAGCATCGGGGAAATTGTGTCCCCCTGCCTTAAACCCTTCTTGATTGGTATTCTGTTGCTTCCTTTATGAAGCACTATGGTAGCAGTTGATCCCCTGTAGATTTCTTCCAGAATGTTTACATATACTTCATCTACGCCCTGATTCCGCAGTGTTTGCATGACGGCTGATATTTCTACTGAATCAAACGCCTTCTCGTAATCTATGAAGGCTATGTATAGGGGTTGGTTATACTCTGAGCATTTCTCTATTACCTGATTGATAGTATGAATGTGGTCAATTGTTGAGTAGCCTGTTCGAAATCCTGCTTGTTCCTTTGGTTGATTGAATTCTAATGTTTTCTTTACTCTATTAGCAATTACCTTTGTAAATAGCTTGTATACTACAGAGAGCAAGCTGATCGGCCTGTAATTCTTCAAGTCCTTGTCATCTCCTTTCTTATGCATCAAGATGATGTTAGCGTTCTTCCAAGACTCTGGTACTCTTCCTGTCAGGAGACAACTCGTAAACAGGGTGGCTAGTTTTTCTAACACAATCTGTCCTCCATCTTTCAGCAGATCTGATGTTACCTGATCCTCACCAGCAGCTTTGCCCCTTTGCATGCTCTCCAAAGCTTTTCTGACTTCTTCTATCATTACTGGTGGGGTGTAATCTGGGTTACTGCTAGTTCTTATAGTATTAAGGTCGTTGTTGTCTCGACTACTGTACAGATCTCTGTAAAACTCCTCCGCTATTTTAACTATCCTATCCATATTGGTAGTTATTTTGCCTTCTTTGTCCCTTAGTGCATACATCCGACTTTTGCCTATCCCAAGTTTCCTCTTCAATGCTTTGACACTTCCTCCGTTTTTCAGAGCGTGTTCAATTCTCTCCATGTTATACCTTCTTACATCGCATACCTTACGTCTAATAATCAACTTCGATAGCTCTGCCAGTTCTATTTTGTCTGTTGTACTTGACACTTTCATGATTTGACGCTTCTTAATTAGGTTCTTCGTTTCCTGGGAAAGCTTGCCAGTGTCCTGTCTAACTACCCTGCCTCCAACTTCCACTGCACACTCCGTAATGATACTCGTCAGATTATCATTCATTGTATCTACGCTAAGGTAGGTTTCCTCACTAAGAGCCGAGTACCTGTTCTGCAGCGACACTCTGAATTCCTGTACTTTCCCTCTCAGTGCTAGCTGATTGATTGGCTTCTTGCGTATCAGTTTCTGTCGTTCCTTCTTCAAGTCTAGGCGAATTCGAGACTGTACCATTCTATGGTCACTGCATCGTACCTTGCCAATAACTTCCACATCCTGCACGATTCCAGGGTGTGCACTCATTATAAAGTCTATTTCGTTCTTATTTTCGCCATTAGGGCTCCTCCATGTCCACTTGCTGTTTTCTCGTTTTCGGTAGAAGGTATTCAAAATCCGTAAATTATTGCGTTCTGCGAATTCTACTAGTAGCTCTCCTCTGGCGTTTCTAGTGCCGATGCCATAATCTCCTACTGCCTGGTCTCCAGCGTGCTTCTTCCCTACCTTTGCATTAAAGTCGCCCATCACTATAGTATACTGTGTTTGAATGGTAAAATAATTTCTCCTAGCCAACCAGCTAGACAATCCCTGAAATATCTCAGTAGTAAATTTAAAGTTTTTTCGAGATTTGGTGCCAAGATTACAATGACAGGAGAGTGATGATGAATGTAGGTTGCGATTATGAGGGATTTGTATGTGGCAAAAGAGTAAGGCAGCACAAATAAGCTGACTTGTAACTTAACAGTCAGGTAGGGTGCATGGAGGGGAATTGGCATTGAAAAGCAGAGAGGTGATGTCATAGCAATATGTGACACTACATTAATATAACTTTATAATAATCTATTAGCATTGTGGCAGAATGTGTTAGAATAACCCCTTGAGACACAGTGTGTCCACATACTAGTATATGGTTGCAACTTGTTTTTGTCAGTTTTTCTGATTAGCAACCAAGAAAGAGAAATATGCATCACGTGTAGGATGTATTGAACTTCATACATAGTCATTTTGTTTTCATGTGACCTCAGTGTGCTGTGTAGAATTGCACCCGATGACTTTGGTGAAGACACAACAATGTTCGATGTGTAGTTCGACATTCCACATTTTAGGAGCAAGGTAAAAAGTACAACTTTTCTTCTCTCAAAGTGACAACAACCAAAAACAAGTTGCGCAGGTATTCTGAGGCTAATATGATTTTTTTTCATGTAGAACATTACTGACTGCACAAGAAACAAATATTCAAAGTTGTTCACCAATTATGATTAATTGCTGAGAATTGCATGAAAGAGCATATTACCTCTATTAGTTGGTGGAACTAGAATATGGAATGCCTTGGAATAATTGTGTAAATTTGAGACATTGTGAAACATTTCAAGACAGTTCACCGTAGTATGTGCCTGAAGGGGTTAAAATGCTGGTCTGTGTAGAGGACGTCTTAGAAAGTACTTCAGCAGAGTTCAACCTGGATGCTCTATGTTATTTTTGTGTGTGTTTGTATGTCTGAAAATGCTAGCACAACTTTCATGTCTTTTGTGTTTTTCTTTTTGCATTTCCTTTGTAAAACTGGTACAGTGTAAACGTGAGACAACGTAAACAAAAAAGTTTTTCGTTCTTATTTTTTCTTTGTGTCTTGCATGCTTGCCAGATGTATAGCTAAAATTTTTATCTAATTTCTGGACACATGGTGTGCTATTACAAATATATATATATATATATATATAATCTCTATAAAAATCTAGAGTTGTTCTCTATTACTAGGATAATATAATGCTAGTATTTGGCAACATTACTTGAAAGTCATCTTTAATCCATGCATGTTGAGATGAGCAGCTTATGCAATGTCACAAGAGAGTCGACTGAAACTACCAGTGATTTGCAGTAAATTCCATGGGAATATTTGGCTTCTCTTCTCACGCATGTGCACACACATTCACAGTAACAAACTTTGTTCTTCATGTTGTATAGTGCAAAGAGGACATTCACAAAAATAAGAAAAGACAGTACACAAGGCACTTTGTGTATCATCTTGTTCTTCCTTTGCGATTGTTTTCCCTGTAGTGTACGACCAGAAGACACTGAAAGAACTAGCCAAAATTTAACACTATTTTTCGCTTGGCCACAAATAATGCTATCAGTCTGAGGCCAAAAAATTTCAACAGAATGAATATTTAATGCCCATAATTGGATGCCATATGAGGAATAATTTCTGGCTGTTAATATGTGTTCTTTGCAAGTGACATATGACTTGGTTATTAAAGGTCGACTTTGGTCTTTTTATATATTTTTAATAAAACTATGTTTATTTCTCATAAGTGGTGAAACAAAAGCTGCATTCAGAGTATAATGCATGTGGTTTTACAGTATTTGGTCTTCATATATGGATTTATTGTTCTGGAACTGCACAAAAGCAATTTCATGGTACCAGTAACACACTTCTAACATTTATTGTGCTGATTGAGCCGTTCATTAGCAGTAAGCCCTGTTATCTTCAATGTGCTTGAATTGGTTGCCTTTCAGGCATAACAGTAATTCTAGGCAACTTGAAGCTCATAATTTTGCTTTGTGCAATGCAGTCTGAGAGAGCTGAACAAAATGGAATACCAACAGGTGAAGGTTATGGGCACCTTTGACCACGAACGGGAGATGTACGTGGGGCCGCGGTCATGCATCAAGCGAGAAGATTCCGAAGGTGGCACACAGAAAAATAGAGATGGCATCATCTCTGCGCCAGGACAGACAGGATACCTGGTCATCACACCTTTCAAGCCTAAGGACCGAGAGTGAGTGATGGTGCTATATTTAAGCTTGTAACCTGTAGCAGCGTAATCGAATTTGCCAACTCATCAACAAGTATTAGTGCATTTTGTGCACAACTTGGTTCTGCGGAGACACATAAGGCTTAGAGTACTGTGTATTATGCTGCATTCCTTCATTTATCCTCTTGCGGGTTCATTCCTATTGAACTATTTAAAGTACATTTGTCACGAGCTGTGAGCACGTACTTGTTGTCATGCTATCATAGCCAAGACAGTTTGCTGAGTGTCATGAGTGGATGAAAACTATGCCTGTCCATTATATAATACTCGTTTGTTATTATATTATTCTGTTGCAAACTTTGCATGCCAAGTAGTGGATGATCCCAGCATGCAGTGCATGAACAACAGTGCACAGTAGTTAGCAATAGGCTTGTGCAAATAGTGAATTGTAGGTTCGAAGTGAACTCATAAAGTAAATAGTGATTTTGGTGGGAGAATATTGAGTTGAATTCAAATAGTATATGTATCGTGCATTATAAAAAAAATGGGTATACTTTTTGACCTAACTAAATTGCACAATATTTTTTTAATTGGAACAAGACCTGTGCAAATGACGTTTTTCTTGCTTCAAAGGAAGTGGAGACAACTTTGAATAGTAGCATGATGGGACTTTCGGTAGAATGCAAATGATGACCTGTAAAATGTTTTACATTCTAAGATTGCTATTCTTTGAGTATATAAATTGCTATAACAAGCTTTTAGACTTCCAAAGCCTAAAAGACAAGATTTTACTCTTGATGACTTTATATGAAACCATGATGACGCTACAATGTACTGCTGGTACAGATGTAACATTGTAAAACTACATTAATCTATCCAACGCACCATGCAGCTCTAGTGTCGTTCCTTATTAGCAGTGTCAGCACTCCTGCTTATCATGCTCCTTGGAAAAAGGCAACAGCCAGTGATAAATGTGTGCATTGAACTGTGTGAAGGTAAAACATATGCTTCACGCTGGAATGTCATTTGTTACTAAAGTATTTGCCTAAGACGAGTCTGAATTGCTGGAAATGAGTCTGAACCAGCAGTAGTGTTTCGGATAAGTGTGAGAAAAATGAAGACAAATGGGAACTTGTCAATGAGGTTTTTTTATATTTTCTACGCTCGCTTTTGTTTTTCTTTCTTTTAACTACACTGCCTAATTAGTACCATAAAACTATTTTAAGAAAATAATTTGCATTTTATCTGTTTAAAAGGATCATGACATGGTCACCCGACAATTGACGGTTTTTGGCGAAAAACGAAGGTAGAGGGTAAAATATGCTTGTAAACGTGGGAAAACTGGACTGTAAGAGATTATTTCAGTCCAAAATAAGCCGTAGAAGTCATCGGCTACAAACTCCACTTACCGCCAGCGACCGCCATTTTGTCATGGTGTGCGTGATGTCACGAGCCAAAAGAGCAGTGTCGTCATCTGCTACCAAACAGCGCCTTCCGCATTTCGTCAGTGTTGCAAGTGTTGCTTGCTGCATCCTCCGCACGTTTCAGTGGGTTGCAAGTGTTGCGATGTATTACTGGTACCATCACCATATGCAGCGATGACGTCATGTACTTTGCTCATTTTGACTTCGACTCCATCGCCTTCAGCTCAAGCGACGAAGAAAGCATAGAATACGGTGTAAACCAAGATGCCAACAACCTCGACATTGTGGTAGACGTTGCAGATGGCTTTCCACAATGATAAGTAGCTTTATTTCAAGCGCGTCAAGTTGCAAAGCAAGCTTAGTATAAGGAGGCCCGTTGACACTGCATTCGCGAGCACGTATTACTTAGCATCGTGAAATTAGCAAACCGTGCAGATTTTTGCTGGCTAGCATTCGTGCATGCATGACTTTCGCGGCTAAACATAATAAATAAGTGGACGTAGCAATGCTGCATGTTGGGACCATTGTTTTTCTTGTGCAACATATGTAAACATAAGCCGAAGTGAACAGCATGTCAGTGCAGCGCTAGGGCTACCCACAATATACATTTTGGCCGAATCATAGTTTGAAGTGTGTCGATTACATTCGGTTCAGTTAAAAAAAATAAGTGCGACGCTCAACCATGGCGCTGCCTGCGAGGAGTTTCAATAAATATTCATCCATAGTTGCAAACGGCATATACATTGCACATTCACAGGACACTTTTTGACCTTCGAAATGGCTTGCTGCAAGTACCAGCGCTACATGTGTAATGCGGTCGCATTGTTTCAACCCCTGGAAGTCATTTAGTTCCAGTGGCAAGTTGAACAATGCAGAAAAAAATAGATTGCAAGCTCAGCTGACTACGGAACATGATCATCCTCCGAAAGGCAAACCATGCAGCAGCCCGCCCATCAAGCGGTTCGTGACGTCACAGCTAGCAATTGCACCAGTGTGGCCTTATAAAAATATTCAATCATAAATTAGCAGCTCGACCAAAAGTGCTCAAATTTTCTCAGCTTGTCTGTGAATGTACAAGAATCAACCCACACAACACAGATTATGGTTGAAAATTTGTTGTCATGACCCTTTTAAATATCAAGAACCTTAGTTGGCACTTTCTTTCTACTTGCTCCTGTAGCAAAAGGCATGATACTGAGGTACCAAAAGCTAATGTAGTTCTGTCACAATCTTCCGCATTATTTTCATGTTGCAATGTCAGGTATTGCTTAACGCTCACGTGTTAAAATTGCTCTTGTGCGTTCTCATCGTTCTTGGGTTAGGTGCTTAGGTGCTAAGTATCAATCACCTGTGGCACATTCCAGCATACCAGCGGCACATACCTGCGCATGGGTATGTGCCACTGTCTGGGGGGAAGTGTTTGACAGCGTACACGCTAACATTATTCATGTCTTGTTCAGTGCGTCATATTTATCAAATTATCTTACCCTCCCATGCTAATTTTGGTTCACGCCAAGTTAAGGGGGTGACCACGAGAGCATCCAAACGTAAGCGAGTGAATGGATGGATGGATGGATGAATGAATAAATGGATGGATGGATGGACGGACGGACGGACGGATGGATGTGTAGCGAGAGAGGAAGACAGGACGGCGGCCAACGTGGTCGTGTCTTTCTCTCGCCACTTTATTACACCCCTGAAGCAGAGCCGCGTGGCTTTCCACGTCCGACACACCAAGTGCGCTAGCTTGCTCTAATCCTCGCGCAGCTCGAGCTAGCATCAGCTGCACGAGAGGCGCGGCGCGGTCATTGAGAAATGATGATGATGATCATGCACTACAGAGCTCCCCCTAGCGCTTTCCGCGATTTGAAGTGTATATAACAAAGAAAGAGAAAGAAACTATATACATGAACGACAATCTGCAAGGTGTCTGTTTGGGAAGTCCAGTTTGTCAACGTGTAGTGACCATCGGGAACCAGTGGGTCTCTGGTGGGCGACACTGGGAGTTGCGCAGTGGACGAAGAAGTAAGCGTTCGAAAACTGTGTTTGCACACAAGTGGGTGACAGGATGACCAGCTGGGGCTAGCTGGGAGCGCACAGGGTGTCGCGAGTGAGCATTGCAGGTAGAGAGGCGTTCAGGGTGAGGTGACGACGGGTGCACAAAAGCCGATTTGGCCCCTGCGCGCGAAGCAATTAGGAGTGGCGTAGTGAAGTCCTTGCAGACCACCCATCAACAAGCAACGGCTTTGATGGTGCTTTTGTGGGCGTGCGCAGCACTGGTGCAGATGTCGGTACGCAGGTGTCGTGACGTGAGTGGTATTTGAATATGAGTGAACTTGACCACTTACGTTGGCAGTGAGTAAGTAGCATTGTACACGTTGGGTAGAGGTAAATGACGTATGCGGCTTGTAAAAGGGTGTGCCTACAGTCCAGTTACACGCCAGCTCGCCTACGGTTTCCGTCAAGAACTCAGTAGGAGGCGTGTCATGGGATCCAGCAGATATGGACTCTGGAGGGGGCTCAGTGGGCGTACCTTAACTTGGGGAAACACCTTAGTAGTAGTCGGCGCACGTCGGTTCGTGCGCAGGTCGGTATGGAAGATGGGTGCCTGTATGCCAGGCGTGAGATGTGCGGTCTGCTGTGACATAGGCACACCAGGCACGTCGTCCTCAGGAGCGTCGGTCATTGTCGCAACATCTCGGAAGTTTGGCCGTGGTTGACAGCTTGTGGCTTCAACTTCGCCTGCGAGAGACTGCGAGGGCGAAGATGGTTGCTGCTGGCAGGACACGCAGATGATTGAGGTGAGTGGAGAGGCACCTTCGGACATTGTCGACACTGAAGCCTTCGCGACCGGGGGGTGAATAGCAGGCGTGACGATGTCCGTAGTCGTGGTAGACACCAGGGCATTCGGTGATGTTGCCGTCGTAGCACCTCACGTGTCAGCCGTGTTGTGAGCCATGGAGGTCGGCCGAGACGAGCCGGTGGTAAGCATGCCTGCCGCGTCGTCGGCCGAGGACGATGAAAACACTAACCTCGTGGCTGACTGGTTGCATTCAGCCCAAATGTCGAGAACCTTGGCGTATGGGCAGTCGGGCGCAGGACACGCGTCGCTAGTGGCCAGATGAGAGGTCAAGTCTCGTTTATCGGATGTTGTTCAAGGCGAAAGCTTTGAGGTCGGGAAGTCAATAACGAGCGAAAGGTCACCTGTGCCAGGCTCCGAGGCGGGCGGCAAGGTGGTCGTCATGGAGTCTGGTGGGGCCACGGTTGGTAGCACACGTTGCGACGCAGTGACAGCCCAGAAGTCGCGAGTCCCTGGAAGCGGTCGGTACGTGAGGCCATTGCGGGCGAGCACTGCAGTGCAGAGGGCTCCGTAAGGCTGCGGGCTTGTGCTTGAAGTGGCAGAGAGATGACGCAACTCTACTGGAAGGGCATCATGAAGAATGGCGTGCATCAGCGGCCGGTCCGTGACGCCATTCAACGCAAGAACGGCATCGAGCTGCATGAACCATACCTTGGAGTAGGTCGATTGGAACGGCGGCACTGGCGGGCAGAGTTGCGGGAACATGGCAGCGGGCCGCTGGCGAAGGGCGTGTTCTCGGG